GTGTTGATTTACAGCAAAATATTTGCTTTAAGTGCTTAGCTCTCCTAACAGCTCTAGTAATAGTTTTAACAGTGGCTAAGAACTTGATGCCTTTTATGGGCATCTAAGGTAAGGGAGTCTTATTTTTTTGTTTAAAGGGGCTATTCCAAATGAGACTAATATTTTGATCTCTGAGAGAATATGAATTGTTTCTAGCTGTTTAACTCACTGAACTTGACATGCGCTATTATTGCCCTTGTAGACTGAATCCAAAGAAGCTGTTATAAATGATCACATCTATGACCCTCATACTGAGAAGGCTTAAGAGCCAATAGCAGCTGTTTAGTTTCCAGTAAAACCCTTCCAGTTAATTTCAAACACCTATTTGTGGAATTTGAAGTATATTGCTGCTCAGTAGAGTCATTAGTGATGTATCTTCATGAGTGGTGATTAACTCCTTCAGTTCTAATGTAGCTATCATTCCATACTAGTACTGGTTTTCTTCTCTTGCAGCTCTCCTCTTTCTCAGCATTTTTTTCCAGTACAGTAGTTATATTTTCTTGTTAGTCATGTTTATAAAAGAAAATGTTTATGAAATAAAAATATAGCTTCTTACTGCTATTTTAAAAATTTTGCTGAGCAGGAACCTGTTCTTCCACAATCTCACATTTAGCCAGCAAGAATAACTGCCCTGTGGGGATGTGCTAATGATACACTCCAACTAATGTTTCCAAAAATCACTACTTGTTTTCCTATTATGTATACATCAGTTCTTCAATTATTCATTTCTTTGCATGCTTTCCTAACATTGGCAAATAAAATTCCTTCATTAATCAGGCATCTGGTCAACACAGTACTGATTATATCTGTCATCAGTATAATGCAAGATAGCATGAATTTTTAATAGCACTTTCACTGAAATAATGAGAAGTAAGAGGTTTATTTATGAGTCTGTGCACAGTCTAGTCCCATTTTCTACTGCAGTTTTAACAAAATGGTCTCTTTGTGTTTGCCTCATATCGTCCATAAATGGTGTTTAGTCAATCATGCTAATTAATGTCATTAGTATGATTTTATTTTTCAGTTTTACACTATTAGATAGCATTCTACAAATCTCTATTATCCTAACATGAAATAGCCAGAGCAGACATTTTAATGACCTTCCTATTTCCCTCTCTTGCAAGAAATGTTCCAGCAGTTGCTTCTACTGTCTAGAGAAATTCTGCATGAGGATAAGCAGCAATTAATCTTTTTAAAACTAGTCAATGTTTTCTCTTTCTAAGATTAAAGAAGACTTGTGAACAAGATGTATAAATTTAACATAAAGCATACAGTGCGCAATACCCTAAAATTAACAAAAATCCAGACATTTGATGGAATGTTACTCAGAAATTGAAAATGAGAGTGATCTTGTGGGAATGCTACAGGAAACTACCCTGCTGTACAACAAATAGGTTTTTGTATAATCTTTTTATTACTGTATTCTACTGCACAGATATTCAGTGTGTCAAAATATTATCTTCTCTTAAGTCATGTCAAAAAGAAGAATGAAAGGAACTATAAAGAAGGAAAATTAAGAAACTAGATTTGGACTTTTTTTTTCTAAGACACATTCAGTGGAAAAAGCTCTTCACATATGATGAACATTCATCTTATAAAATTGCTGTTTGACAGGGGACTGCTATTTGAGAGAGTGGTCAGAATGGAGCCTTTGTCAGCTAACCTGTGTTAATGGTGAGGATCTTGGGTTTGGAGGGATACAAGTCCGATCTCGGGCAGTGATCGTTCAGGAATTAGAGAATCAACATCTCTGTCCAGAACAGGCCTTGGAGACAAGACCATGCAGCGGTAAGCACCGAAATACACATAAGGCCATGTTGTTCTCTAAGAACAATAGTTCTGTTTTCTTTCTGTTCATAGTATCAAATTTAGGAAAATATGGATTTGATGGATGTAGAAATACACTTAAATTTTTGTTTTCCAGATATCAGCTGTAAACAGAAAAACTCTCAAGTGCTAACTGTCATATTTTACTATATTAAACATGATCTTTGGAGAAATGGTGATATTTTTTAATAATGAAATTTCTTTTTATGACATGGAAAAAACAGTTGATTTTTCTGCTTGATAACATTAATAAAAAAGAAATCTTTAAGTTTTGATACATGATCAAATTTAGATTTTTCTCTACCCTTTGAACTGTTGTTAACCGCATGACAGTGACATTAAAAAGTCTCAGTCATGCTTACTGATGATAGTGGACAAAGTATCTAAGAACAGTCATTTCCTGTACAGGCATCTCTTGTCCATTCAGAGGCCAGACACATCAGGCAAAAAGGAATTTTATATTTGTAAGGCAGCTAAGGTGCAGAAGGACTTCATTATTTATCCCAGGCTGTAAGAGAGGTGTATAGCAGAGCTGAGATGTGAAGCCAGATGCAGCTCAGGCCACTTCACCAAGCACTGGAGCACTGACTGTAGCTCAGCGTTACCAGGAAAGGAACCTGACTCCTAAATGAGGTTTGCCCAACAGATGGGCCACAACCATTAACTACATTAGGCTTACTCCACGGGCAGTGTGTACAACCATTATAGTTAGTGTCTGGGACACATCTGGTTTATTCTCTATGTATTCAGTAAATGCAGGAGACCTTGGGGCCTCTATGTGTGCAGTGTACCCTTCTAAGTTGCTGGGTGAAGTAGGAAGGGACCTACTTAGCCATAAAAGCTGTTAAACATAATGAGTATGGTCTACTGATGGGTGTGGCTGCTGCCAGTGGTACCCTAAAATCTTGTCAACAAATTTCTTGAACAGTGAATGTTCTCTCTGTAGATGGCCAGTGCTATGAATACAAGTGGATGGCGAGCCCATGGAAGGGATCTTCTCGAACTGTGTGGTGCCAAAGATCAGATGGTTTAAATGTCACAGGTAACTACTCTTTTTATATATACACACAAAAGCCTGTAAAACAAGGGGATAATGTCTTTTCACAACAAATGGAAATATTGTTTTTTAAAAGAATCTGCTAAACACACTTGTTCCTGATGTATGAATCAATGAGCTGTTGTCTTGAATCATCACAGTTTTGTATACTAAAGATGTTATTTATCTTCCAGAATTATGCAGTATGAAATGCTAAAAGTAAACATAAATGTTATCTTCTGTACTGGACTTGGAATGCTTTACAGTGTATATTTATTTATTTTTTTTTTACCATAGCCATTTTTACACCTCTGAATTTAGGGTTTCAGATTTCAAGCCCTACATCAAGTGGAACTTCTATGTATTAAACTTCATTTCAGCGCCTATACAGAGGCAGAGAGAGATGCAAAGCTTGATGATAACATGCATATATCATATCTCTCATTAAAATAACAAAATATAAAATTCTAATAAATGTGCTAATATAAGTTTATTTCTTTACTTCAATGACATAAACCTATAGCAGGATATTTCAGTGGACAGCTGCGGGATGTAGTTACTTCTTATGTAAACCAAAGCACAAAACACCATGAATTAAGAATGACTGGGGTCTCCGAATTCAAGAAAAACTTAGTATCTTTTTATATGAGTCTATTTATCAGTATTAGGGATTAATTTAAGATAAGAGTTATTCATTTTTTATTTAAATAATTTTTGTATTGGCCCAGGTGATAGTAACAGAATCTTAGAGATTGTAAGCACATCCTCAATGCCTGACAGGTCAGTCACAGGAGGGGAGCTCTAATTCATGGACTGCAAATACAATACTTCTTAATGATGGAATCCACCACTACTGTCTGTTGAAACAGTAGAAATGAAATATCTGTATTATTTTTACAAAGCTTTGAATTAATACTTGATAGCCCAAAGTCTCTTTTGCAAGTGTCACCTTGTGCTGTAAGAATATTAAAATGCATCATCTTCACTACAAATGCAATAGGGCATTATTTATGCACCTTGATTGCTTCCTGCCTAACTAAGATGCTTGGATGGTAAGTAAAACTCTAAGTAAGAATTCTTATTGAGATTAATATATTATCTATTAAAGGTCTTACAGGATTATAAAATAAATAGCATCTTGACCATTATGGCTCTGAGATATTAAAATCAGAATATATTAATAAATTAGTCAGTCACATAAATAAGATTGTTCTGATGTGATTGAATACAGTGATGTGATAAATTCCAGGAAGGACAAGTGTACGAATCTGTGTTGTTGACAGATTTTTCATGACAGGACCTTCTAGACAGACTAACCTCGGACCTATATTGTATCTGTTTTTTCAAAATTTGTTTGTATGTGGTTTTAAATCTATAGTAACTTTCTGATTTGAAATGAAGACTAAATTCCACACAATGTAATCACCAGTTTCCATGCAAAGCAAGCTATATTTTTAATAGTTCTTGATAGTTTTTAAACAAAGCACTTAAGTCTAATGTTCTCCGAGAACTTCTCTGCATGACACATACAGTAATGAATCAGGTTGTAATTTACATTTGAATGTTTATTTGAAAGTGGTTTGTGTAAACTACACTATTTAAGAGCTCAAACTGCATATACAAAATTGATTTAAATGACAATTACCTATTTTGATCTAGAATCAACCCATATTTCTCATTACTGTGTTTCTTTCCTGCCTTATTTCTGCAATTTGACTCTAACATAGTGTATTTTAATTCAGGCATTATTAATTTTTTTTGAGTCCTGTTGGTATTTTAAGGCCTTTATTTACTTACTTGCATGCTATTATTGTGCTGAATAGTTGTTTTTTACTTGAAGGTGTTGTTTCCCGTGGGCGATGAGGCAACTCTTTCCTTCTGCAGCTTCCTTGGATGACTGATATTTTATTACATAGATTCCCACAGGCATGTGATTTGTATGCTAGGATGTATGATTTTTCTTTTTGGGAGTGGGAAAAAACTTATGGCAACAGCAGGGTTTTCTTTGTTCTTCATCAGCCATCCCATTAACACTTGGATCTATGTAACCACATCTAACTGCATCTGCTATGGCCATGACCAACCTCAGCTATCAGGATTTCATAATCATCTCACACCAGTATAAAATAGTTACTAATTTGAGAGATGCAAGATAAGTCATCCTGTAGCAGTATAACTTTTAGACTACATGATGCATATCATGTAGAAGAAAACCCAGATAAATTCAAACTGATTCTAAATGTCTTTTAAAGTGATTCTGGCTGAAATGATAGTGAAAGCCTGATTTCATGTGTTGGTCCATAACAATAACTGCACTGTACATGAAGCTGTAGGACTGTATAAAAAGACTGAAACCCGCTATATCATCAGTATCATAGCATTCAGTAAGTGCTTTTCTGGTAATCTTCTTTCCTTCTGAAAAATCTGTCTTAGACTAGCATGAAGTGTGGCTTCATAAGAGGCAAAGCTATAGCATGTGTAAAAGTTACTATGGAGGAGCAGCAGAAAACAGGTCTCTGTTCATAAACTGGATAAGTAGTTTGTTTTCAGTTTAATAGGCAAAGTTATAAATAAAAAAAATACACTTTCTTTTCTCTGTGGCCTCAGTTTTAATACATAAGTCATAAGGAGAGCCCTAGAGAACCAAAATCTGTTCTCTGAAGCACAACAAAACATTTAAACTCTTTTGAGCAATCCACCAAAGGAACAAAGGGGAAAAAAAGTTTCACTTGCCAAATATTAGTTCCCTAAAATGCATGTGAATGCAAATACATGTACTGTATCCTTTCTCTACCTATAAGGAAATACTTGACACCAGTTATCCTTCACCTTGGAATAAGAGAAGGACTCTTAAATTCAAATTAGCAATGAAATTAAAATTCATGACATACTGTAGTGAGTAATGACATCAGTAATTTCATCAGTGGTGAAGTATTACCATGTCAAAATATGATTTTCTGTCCTACAGGGGGCTGTTTAGTGATGCGCCAACCAGATGCTGACAGGTCATGTAACCCACCGTGCAGTCAACCCCATGCTTACTGCAGTGAGGTATGTGCTACTGCATTGGAGCATAAAATGCCCCTGTGAGGGCTTCCCACTCATCTCTCTGCATTACAAAGATTATGCCAACAAAAAGTACTTTCAGAGATTTTGCTAACCATTAATTTGTTAAAATCAACCTCAGACCATTTTATACCTTTTGATTAAAGTTTGAATAGTCTCTGTTGATTTGATATGAACCTGCCTAAAAATATATGAAGAGGTACTCTCCAGGCTAGCACAGATCAAAACTGTCCTCTTCCAGTCAGCCATGTTGTTATGCTTTACAGCTCACAGAAAACTGTGTTTTTCTGCTACACAGTGTAAAACACTTGTTCCCCACAGACTAGAACATGCAGTTGTGAAGATGGATACACTGAAGTTATGTCCTCTGATGGCACACTCGAACAGTGCACTCTCATACCAGTGGTGGTGATCCCCACCATGGAGGACAAGAAGGGAGATGTGAAAACCAGTCGAGCTGTGAACCCTACCCAGCCCTCCAGTAACCAGTCAGGACGAGGAAGGACCTGGTTTCTACAGCCTTTTGGGCCAGGTGAAGTCATGCAATGAGCAGTTCTTAATGCTAAGTACTGCTGCAGGATCTGACATTTATATTTTTGTGATGCTGAGGAAGAAAATAAAAACCCTTAAGTCTTCATTTAAGAAGACAGCCATCTGCACTGACTGAAAATAATGGAAGAGACATAAGCAAACCCCTAGCCTTCTCAGCTACTCCATCAGTGTATTCAAGGAAATCTTGTATTGCAGAAGATTTCCTTTTAATTCCTTCTACCTGTTAAAATTCACAGAAGCTATTTGAAATGTGACTTTAGAAGGGACATGGCTGCAAAGTTGCAAGCCAGGATATTAGGTTATGCTGTCTCAACCAATAATAATGCTAACAGAGGAGTGAAAAGGTAGCACCGAATACTGCAGAGGGTAAGGGCTGCCTAAAATTTGCAGCTGTAGTGTAAGTTGTAGGAAAACAATCAGTATAGATACGTTAATGCCTTTCTTCCATATCCATATATAAACTAATTCCTGTTAAAGAGCTAACCATATCATTGATATTTAGCATAGACATGCTCTAAGTCTCTATAGGCAATATTTGCTTTTATGATGAACCACGTTCTTTAGAGCTGAGCAAGGACTTATGTGCAAGAATGTCAGGAAATATATTGTAAGACAATTATCCCATCAAAAATGCTTTATGGAGTCCATCATATAAACAGATTTCAGTAAATATTTCCTAGTACTATTAAGCATTGAGATAAACAAAACTTTAAGTAACAGATTACTTTCACATAAAGAGATATGATGTTTGCCCAAAATTTTAATTATATTAAGAGAGCAATTGGTTATCTTAAGTGTTTTTTAAATCACATAGAGCTAAATATTCTAACACAACTGTGTATTAGTGTTCATTTCTTTCTAAACCTTTAATGAATGTTTCATGCTATGAATCTGAAAATTGAAAATAATATCTTTACATGCATAATCTGTAAAATGCTGCAAATTGAGAACTTCAAATTCTAAGAATTCTAAGTATTGCAATACTTCTAATAAGCAGATTAAATCACATTCAGGTTAGAAATACTTGTTAAATCCCACTTGTTCTACTAGTATTTATGGTTATTTGTACTTGGATACTATATTTTATACTTGCAATAAAATTATCTTTACTCAAATTAGTTAATACTTTAATCCACAATAAATAAATAAATAAAAAGAAAACTAAGCTTTTCTGGTCCTCCTTTAAAAAAAATAGAATCTTACCAATGATGTTATCTTTTAATCATTCTAGCTAACTCCACTTGAAAATGCCAGAAGGTGGGTTCTAGCAGACAGAGTGCTGAAAATAAGCAAAAGTCAGACAGTCACCTTTCAACTATTTAGGAATGTGGGTGCTCATGTGAGCTCAGACATGGTTTTTGGAGCAAGGAGCAGTGGAGAGATTTCATGAAAACTCAACAATTTCCCAGTAACTCAAGTTAGGAAGGAAACAGCTCAGCTCAGATAATAACAATGGTATTTGAGAGAACTAATATTTTATCCGCTAAAGGTATGAGCAAATGTGAAAGCAAGTGAACATTTTGCACTTCAGATGAGATTTATGCTTGATTGTTCTAATTCCAGGACTGGGAAAAAGAAACTTAAAAAAATTATATTGCAGTTCCAGAAATACTAAAACTATCCTCCTCAAGTGTCTGTGCTGATGTATTACCCAAACCAGAAGAGTTTGGGATGTCAATTCCCTGATATACTTAGAAATAATCTGTCCAGGGGGAATTCAGAAAGCCTGAGTTAGATTCCTGTAGTTGCATGATAGGAATGACTGCATTAACGGAGTTCTCTGCTTTGACAAAAATAAATAAATCCATACACAAGGTAATGCCAGTCTTGTCTTTCAAGGAAATAATACTATTTTAAAACAAGCAAATCCAAAACAACCTGAAAACCCTTCCATTTGCCAATGTAAATAAGCAGAGAGAAGAAACTAACCTCTTTCCAGTACTGAAGCCTGAATTCCTCTCATTTGTATTATTATATCAATCATTGGCTATGTAAGTTCCAATCTACTGTTCAATTCATCTTTAATGGATCAATTATTTCAGTTATATCAGTTATTGTCAGTTATAATGTTTCATTAGATTCATTAATGTAATGAAGCTAGAATGTTTTTCTATTGGTTAGCCTTGAAAAAGTTGTTCACAGGACTGCAAGACTTTGCATTTCTAGAGAAAACGAAGCCTGAATTTAACTGCAGAGTAATAGAGAGCACTACTGTGAATCTAAGTGAAGTCAGTCTGACTAATTTTTTGCTATTAATACATTGTAGAAGCATCAACTGCATTGATACCTTTTTGTTCTACATAGGTATCAGGAAGTAATAAAGATTTGGTCAGAACAATTTTAGCTGCATTTGCTTACATTGAGAATATACACGACTTCATAAAATAAAAATTTTGTCACTTGTAAATGAAATAATTCTTATTTTTATGGAATTTTCACTGTCAAGGAGGTGCAACAAGGCCAGCTAACCTCCTGTAAAAGTATCAGGGGAATAAATTGATTAATTATTATTTTATGCAGTAGTGAAAGTTATGTCTATGCAGTTAAGGTATAGATGTGGTAAAACATGCTAAAGGTATTTACAAATATAAAATTAAATAGCAACAAGAATTAAAATAACAGGCAGATTGATTTACCAGAGCTAGAATGGAAAATGATGCTAACAGCATAAATGAGTCCCAGGCTGATAAGCTGCCATGTGATCACACCGAAGGACTGCGCACTACCAGCAGGCCCAGAGGCTGGGTTTCTGGGGGTCTCACTTTCTGCCTCTGTCCCACATCTCGGCTCCATTTGGATTATCCAGACTTTGGCTGAAAAGCAGAACAGAAGTGCACAGAGAAGTTATTGCTCAGTTGTTTTAATAGTATTTACTCTTATTAAGCTGTAATTGTTAGTGAAGGCATTTGTTTTGGATTATAAAAGTATTTCTATGCTATATCAGAACTAATAATTCAACAAGACTAACTCAGACACTACTGACTAACATTCATTCCTTTTAGATGGGAGGCTGAAGACCTGGGTTTATGGTGTAGCTGCTGGTGCATTTGTTTTACTCATCTTTATTGTTTCTATGATCTATCTAGCCTGGTGAGTTCTTTAATTATTTACAAACAAGCAGTCCCACACATACTGTAATGCAAGCATTTACATTTGCCGCTGTAGAAACTGCAGTCTCTGCTGTGAACTGAAGTGTTTAATTTTCCACATCCTTTTGTCCAAGCTCAGGTTAGTGGACTCTCCTTGTAGTCTAGATGACGGATAAATACATGCTTTCCTTAGATTAGAAGAACTTCTTACAAATATGGGGTAGCTTAGCATATAGTTTAATTTTGCTCAGTTTATAGCTGTTAAGAATGTACCGTATCCATGAGAATTTCATTGTGTCTGTATCACAAAATGCAGAGAGAAATAGCAAGAACGATATATAGTAATCAGACAAATTTGATATTTGGCAGAATATAGAGATACACAACTAGAAACAGTCTGAAAACTTTCTCATATGTTTTTCATACATGAAATAATATTTTGTTGAAAAATCTTAGTGCATGTGAAAGCAAAGACTTTTTTGGCAAGAATAAGTTACCTTCGTGAATGCACTCCCTGAGGTTTTCTAGGTCCTGTTTGGAATTTCTGATCCAAATGACTATGCAGGGGGAAGGTAAGGGAAGTGTGGTCATACACATCAGGCTCTTGGTTGTACTGCATCTGTTGGTATTTGAAGGGCTTCTAGATTTGTTTGCTTTTTTAGTAAACCTTCCCCAAAATCTCACTTCTGTCTAAGTAAGGGAAAAAAAATCTTTTATTTTCTGAGGAAAAGAAAATCCATTAGCATACAACTCCACTGCAGATTCTTCAGACTGGAATCTGTGGCCACTGCAAGCCACTGTAACAACTGGTTTGGTAGCAAAGATTTAGATTTGGGCAGCTGAAGTGACATAGCTGAGGTAAGGTTTTGGACAAGGCTGAGGATGTACAGGCCTGATTTAAAGAAATGCTGATATTACACTCTAAAAGAAAACAAGTACTAAAGCATGCATAAATATCCATTTTTCTTTGGCTTGGTAATTTTTTAAAACTATATCAAATGGATTGGAAATACTGCTGGATTAAAATCTAATTCATGGCTAGACAGGGAATGGTTATGGCTAACAACCATATCCCTGCTATTTATGGCTGGTTTGATTATAACATCTAGAATGAACTGTAGTCATTCCAGTAAGTGTAATAACACAGAACTAATCAAAAGATGGAACTTTCCTGTGGAAACCCTTAATGTGTCAAGAGAGGTTTAAAATTTGAGTCATATAATTTAAAAGAACCTGATTGTGGCTTTGCTACATGACCAAATATGGCACTGCAGGCTCTGGGTTCTTCTCAGTGCTGACTGATCTTGCAGGAGTACCTGCCAAGGATTTCATCAAGTCACATCAGCGCCGTAACTGCCTGTTTCTGAACAACTGAGCTCCGAATTAGTTGTTGCTTTGGGTTGATAAAGAGCTAAATGCTTATCCAAGTGAAAGTTTTAGGGTTATAGCTTTTACAAATGAACAACCAAGTGCATTGTCTTAAAACAGCACACTCATCTTTCATTTAAGACTGAAATCCATCTTTGTATGTTACTACTTTCTTGGTGTATTTACAAATTATCTTATTGTTTCAGCAAAAAGCCAAAGAAGCCCCAGAGAAGGCAGAACAACCGACTGAAACCTTTAACCTTGGCTTACGATGGAGATGCAGATATGTAAAAAATAACTTCTCGTGGTGACAAATGGAGTCTAAATTAATGGATTGAAATAAGAAGGTATCCAAAGCCACAGGGATTTTCTATGGAGTGGATTAAATGTTTTGACTTTTTCTTTTTTTTTGTAACTGCGCCATAGATAAAGAAGGATGGATGTCAAGGTATTATTGCTTTACTTTAGACCATCAGCACTAAGGAATCTGGCAGACTTACTTTAATAGACACTGCAGTTGGAGATTTGTGGTCTTTCCTCAATCTTACAAACTATAAACACCACTTCAGTCTCCAGAATACTGTAGCTGACATAGCATTAACAGTTGGAAGCCCCTGCACCATTAACCAAGTATAATCAGTACGCATGAAGAGTTTGTACCAACCTGTCTATGACTCTTTATATTCAAGCATAACATATATATGCAGTTGAACCATATGTATTACTCTATCAGATTATATACTTGTTAAAGAGCATTTTAGTGCTTAGTATAATATTAACTTTTATTTGGGATTAACCCACTGAGCAAGTTCAACAGTTTGCCAGTTGTTGATAACTTGTGTTTAACTGCATTTCAGAGGGCAATGACTCACTTGCAAAACTTCTGTCCTGTTATCACTCCAAAGTGTAAAGGCCTCATATGTACATCCAGAAAGGAGGCATTCTCAGATTCAGTATTTTCTAGCAGTTGCTTTCTGGAAAAAAAACAAAAACAACCATTGTAAATGTTACAATACGTTTCTACTTTCTCTAACTCAAACTGTTGCCTGCATCATTTTTGCTACATGTAAGGCAAATTTTTGCACTATATTAGTGCAGCATGAAATGCACTTAACTAGTATTGCCATAGAAATTGCCTCTTTTCAGAAAGGATTATGATGTATCTTGTGCAAGGAGTGTCAAGTAGACCAGTCTTGAATCCTGAAGAGAGTAGCATTCGGTTTGGACTGCGACTGGATGGAATCGGCTAATGATGTGTACTGTACACACCGTTCCTTGTCACAGCGGCCATTTGTAGTCTATATCATGGCAGTAATACAAGTGTCTAGTTTCTTGCCCCATCTACCTATACTGGTATAGATTGTCCTGCTGGTTTCTAATTGTACTTTGAAGGCTGTTTATGACTAGATTTTTATATTTGTTAACTTTGTTAGAAAAAAAAAAAGAAAAAGAAAAGTGGTTGCCCTGTAATCTTGAGTGACATATTTACTGTCTAAAAAGCTATTTTTTTGTTCAACTAAAATAAAATTGTTTTGCTTTTTGTTTTCCTTCTTTTAGTGAGAGTGTTTTCACTGTTGCTAACAGTGCAATACTCAGAGCCCTTTTGTTTTTTTCTAATTAGGATAATTGGATAGACTATTTTAATTATTCAGTTAAACTCTTGAGTGTACTGGCAAGTAAACAATAAGATCAATATTTCTGCCATTTTAATACTCATGACTTAAAAAAACTCTGGCAGTATAAAAACTCACTGTTAACCTCTTCCATGCTTACGGCTTTTCAGTGTTACACTTCCGACATGAAGCTCATTGACTTGCCACTGTACCTACATGCCTGTTACAGATGTGATTCGTGACCTGAGAAGAGTTATTCTCATCAAATGGCTTCTATGTGTAGCCTGATCATATATGTGACTGTGCCACTACTAAGCAATACAAAACTTTATCAGGCAACCTCTCAAAAATAATTGTTATATAAAGTTCAATATTAGGTTCTCAGGTCTTTTTTATAACCTAAACCATTTCTGCCTACTCATCACTCTATTTACTCAAGAAGCACCAGTTTTTGCACACTGAAGAAAGCTGTAGCTTTGCAAACTTTGGCCCAGATCTGTTGAAATCAATGACAAGACTCTCATGGACATCAATGGGTAACATCAGTCCTTAGAAATACCTACTTTTGTTCCATGTAGAATAATTCTTGGAAGTAATGTCCAATTTGTGAATGTTCAAGAGAGATTACGGTCCTGCTTTAACTTAAATAACTTATATTACCAATGTTATGTTAATGCATCAAGAAAATTACCTTCCTCCCACTGCATAAGTATTCCCCAAGTGGGAATGATGAGCAGAGAGGAACAATAGTAACAATCTTTTGTACAGGTTTAATTTCTCATTTCATACCTTGATCCAGCTGCAGCTGGTGAAGTGCCATGGCCCAAAGCCACAGCAGTGGCTCATTCATATGCGTGTTGCAGGACTGGGAGCTTCAGTCTTACATAATTTTGTAAAGGTCCATAGAGGAGAAAACCAAACCAAAATAAACAAATCTTGATGATTTTAATTTCTTCAGCATTCTTGAGTAGAAAACTAGAAAAACCTAGTTGATTTCAATTTTGTCAGATACATGAAAAGTAAATAACATAGAAAAGTTATAAAGTGTTAAAGAATGATAACTATCGTGTGGAGACATAACACTTAACAATGATTTCTGTACTTTAAAAAAGTCTGATTCTGTATTGTCAAATAGTATTGGACCAATACAGAATTGAGGGAACAGGGTTTCTTTCATTGGCAACGAGTCATCTTTACTTATACTGGCTGGTCTTAGCAGGAGCTGTTTCCTAGTTCTTGCCTTGAAGATTTTTATGTCTAAATCTAGGAATTTAGTAACTTGAAGCTAAAAGTATGCCATCTCCTTTTTCTCATTATGTAAAATGGACAAACGAAGAAAGAGATCAGAGGTTTTTTAAGTATGTTTGGCCTTTGAAATCCATACAAGTATTTTAGTACACGTTACATTTTATATCTGGTCAGTGAATTTTGCTGGTGCAAATCTGCATCATACTAGTGCTGCATTTAAAAACTACAGTGCATTTTTATTATTATTTTTTTTTACAAAGAAAGTGCACAGAAATTTGAAGCCAGAATGGCTTCCTTTGTTATCAAGAAAAAAATATTATTCTGTAAGGAGGGCTGAAATTGTATGCAGAGCTATAAGTTGCAAAAATGATTAAGCCCTTTAGCATTGAAACAGAAATAAGTAATAGGTGAATTATCAGTTTAGAATGAAAAGCAATTTGCTCTAAAAAATCAGAGTGCTTCTACAAATCCAGTGCCTAAAGCAGCCACTACTGTAGATTGTTAGTTTGTGAAAGTAATGTTTCCAGTGATCAACTAATCCATTCAGAAAATAGCAAAGTAGACATTTTCCTGTTGATGTGGTGGTTTGTATTTTCCTTTTTAAGTCTGTAGTTTCTAGATTACTGTGTCTGCTTGGAGTCCTGGAGCAGTTTCTTTTTGAAGCTTTGATGCAAATGCACAAGCTTGTTTATATTTGGTATAAAGCATCAATTTTGAGACTCCCTTCCTCCTGACAAAATGTAATAAAGTTTGTTTTTCAATATTACAATCTGAAGAGACAAATTTAAAATCTCTGTGTATAAATCACTGTAAAACATACCTTGAATGAAATGGAAATCTGTCTTTTTACCTTTATGAAAATTGTGCTCACCCAAAGTTAAGAGTTTATTTTGCCTAACTTAATTTACTTGAATATTTATTTTGTAGAACAAGGAGGCAGCTGTCTGAGGAATGTTTACCTTTTTTTGTTAATGTTAATTTGTAAATTGTGTAATGCATTTTTATTTTTTAAATTATATTTCTTTTTTAATGCACAAAATGTTTACGTACAACTACTGCAAATTTGTGTATATTGTCACTAAGCTTTATTCAGTTAATACAGATCATGTGAAAATGTAACAAGTCTTACATTTTCGTCTGGGTTATTTTTACATAACTAATGTATTGCTGACAATAAATATAAACACAAAATCAATTAATGTCTTTTTTTAAATAGATGTAGTATACCATGCTGGGATGGAGTAACAATAAAAACCAGATCCCTAAAATGTGATCACCTTTAATGTGATCCTTGTTGACACAGATGTTTAAAATGCATCTTTAATTGATCAATACATAGCCGATAAATATCTAATAAATCAATGGTATTTTACATATTCTTCCTTAATTGCCATTTCTAGGTCAGAAAAACCAACTCTTTTGTGGAGAATAAAGGGTGGATCAAAATCTCACTCTGGGGCATCTATTCATTTCAGTGAAGCTGAATCTGTCCCTGTCCCTATATAAGAGGAAACAGGGAGGAAAATCCCCATCCTCCCAACTAAACAAACATGCCCAATGCAATTAATAAAATTGTCATTTACATCTCAGTTGTTGAATAAACATTACCACATTCACTTCTAGAGTCAAGAATATGTTGTTGATTACCTAAGAAAAAAGTGACTCCACATTTTTTTCATAACTGCTTATATTCTACCTCCGTGCTCTCCAAAACTCAATTTTTTTAGTCTGTTTCTGCAGCATATATTTATGCACCAGTTCATGGGGTTTTGTCCAATTTAAATAGTTATTACCTCCCCAGTAACCCTTCCAGGGTCACCCTTAAAAGATTTAAACCCAATTTTGAGAGCACGCAACTCTGATTTTAGAGGCATTTCAGGATTTTCAGAAGTAGCTCCTACCTACATTTTCTCCTGCTGGAATCCATAGTAAAAGAACAAAAGCATTGGACTTGTCTTCCCACCTGCAATTTAATAGAGGAATTTTTTAGGTCATTTGAAGTTGTTTAATCCAGTATGAACACAATTATACAAACAGTTAAAAAGGTACTCGAGAGAAGAAAATTAAAATTCTCATTTAAACTCTGCAGAAGAGAATTACCTATAGTACACTAATGAAGATCATACAGTCTTCAAATTCAACAAAGAAAATTTATAGTAGGACTTTGACAATTAGTTGTGAGACTTCTAGATTAATGGCTTCCAGATTGGGAAATATGTTCTTTATTTTAAAAATTATTAGGAGAATAAAATTTTCCAATACAAGTATGCTGAAATGAGATAGAGAGGTAAATGAAGAGGCTTAGATAAGCCTTGTAAATATTTTAGCCTTTTAGAAATGTGAGGATCTACAGTGCTAGGTCTAGAAAATTATCCTGCTGGAACAGTAGTGAGATTAAGCACACATTCAGGATCTGCTTGGCATCACTAAGCACAATTTGGCTACAGAAAAGGGTATTTCTGAATCTGCTGGTTGTTTTCTTGAGCACAGGAAAGCTGAATGTCTATCCAAAAGCAGTATATGGTCAGGGAGACGAACAAACAATCTGCACTTTTTCAGAGGGAGGAATCTAGGCGGGTGAGGGTATGTGTTTTAGCATCTGCTTGTCTGTTAAATTTTCAGCAAAGGGAGCAGATGACTGATTTTGCTTACCTTAATTTGGGCAGTGCCCTTGCCATGGTGTAGGTAGTCCTGTTGTGACACGCTGGTGAAGCACCACCTACGTCCTTTTGAAAGCTGGCATCCCACTTGATCTGAAAGGTTGCAAGGCTCACTGTGAGGCACACCTTCAGTGACATTTGGCAGGCACTGTTCTTTCTGTTTGCCATCAGGCAACTTTAATATTTTGTGGGTTGTATTCAGAACCTAGT